ATTAAGGAAAAAGACACAAAATTTCCAGTGTCAGGAATGAAGGCAGACATCATTACAGACACCACAGACATTAAAAGGAAAATAAGAGTACAATATGAACAACTTTCTGCCAATAAACTCAACATGTTAGATAAAATGAACAAATTCTGTGACAGACACAAACTAACGAAGCTCATCCATGAAGAAATAAACAATCTCAACCGCCCTATATCTACCTGAAAAATTGAATTGTGGGTAATAACTTTTCTACAAAGAAAACTCAAAGCCTAGATGGCATCACTGGTAAAATATGTCTATCCATATTTAAGGAAGAAATACCACCAATTCTACACACATGTAGAAATTAAAGATGAAGGAATCTTTTCCAATTCATTCTATGAGACCAGCATCTTGATACCAAACCAGGCAAAGCTATTTTTGTCTGGGAAAGACCAAACAGAATTATAGGAAAAGAAAACTATGGATCAATAACTTTCATAAACATAGACACAAAAGTTCCTAAAATTTTAGCAACCCGAATCCAACAATATCTTTAAAAGGATAATATGTCATAATCAGGTAGGGTTATTCCAGGAATGCAAGTTACTGAAACTGAGAGCATCAAAGGAACCCCAGTGCTAGAGTGTGAAGCAGGTAAGAAAAGAAGGCGCCATCTGCCACATGCTGAGAGGGTGGAGACAGCAGGCAGGGAGCAGCTGGCCCTGTGAGTTGGGGGGATTCTCTCTCACCTCTCTCCCTTTTTTCTCTATTTCTCCTCTAAAGCAAGGTTTCCAAGCTCTTCACCTCACAGGTATCTCAGGGGTAATTGACAAGGCTGCCCTCCTGCCTCTGTAGCTCAGTTTTCTCCATAGCCTTCATAGCCTTAAGTTTTCTCCATAGCCAGATAATGGCCGGGCATGGTGGCTCACGCTTGTAATCCCAGCACTTTGGGACACCAAAGCGGGCAGATGGTTTGAGTCCAGGAGTTCAAGACCAGCCTGGCCAACATGATCAAACCCTGTCTCCACAAAAACTACAAAAATTAGCCAGGCATAGTGGTGTGTGCCTGTGGTCCCAGCTATTTGGGAAGCTGAAGTGGGAGGATTGCTTGAGCCCAGGAGGTGGAGGCTACAGCAAGCTGTGATCACACCATTGCACTGCAGCCTGGGAACACAGCAAGACCCTGACTCAAAAAAAGGGGTGGGGTGGGGGCTGGGTGCAGTGCTTGTGCCTGCAATCTCAGCACTTTGGGAGGCTGAGACAGGCCAATCACGAGTTCAGGAGTTCAAGACCAGTCTGATCTACATGATGAATCCCCATCTCTACTAAAAATATAAAAATTAGATGGGTGTGGTGGTGTGCACCTGTAATCCCAGCTACTCAGGAGGCTGAGGCAGGAGAATCACTTGAACCCTGGAGGTGGAGATTGCAATGAGCTGAGATGGCGCCATTCACTCCAGCCTGGGCAAGAGCGAGATTCCACTTCAAAAAAAAAAAAAAAAAAGGATATGTACTTTGGGAGCCCTTTTTCACCTTTTCCAGAGTATGTCTCAGCCTCTCTCCACTCCAGCATTGTTGCCCCTTGGCCCAGCACTCATGGAGTTTTTCCCAAGCAAGATGCTGGCACTGCTTTGTAAATGCTCATGTGTTCATTACACAGACACTTTCTCACTTCAGTTTTTAAAATTTCATTTTAAAAGTAATACAAGCATGCACAAGTTAAAAACGACTCCATACAAAAGTTTACACGATAAACACTAATTCTCCCTTCATTCACCTACATTTACCAATGGTCCCTTTCCCGTATTAAGGAGAGACCTGAGGTCAGGCTGGGTGGCTCACAGCTGAAATCCCAGCACTTTAGGAGGCCAAGTCCGGCAGGTCAGTTGAGGTCAGAAGTTCCAGACTAGCCTGGCTAACATGGTGAAACCTCATCTCTACTCAAAATACAAAAATTAGCCGGGCGTGGTGGCAGGTGCCTGTGATCCCAGCTACTCGGGAGGCTGAGGCAGGAGAATCACTTGAACCTGAGAAGTGGAAGTTGCAGTGAGCTGAGATCATGCCACTGCACTCCAGCCTGGGCAACAGAGCGAGACTGTCTCAAAAAAATAAAAAAAAAGAGAGTGACCTGAAGGTGCCTCATATACTGATCAGAGACATTCACGCATGTAACAGTCTACACTCAGTGTCTGCTTTCTCTTTGCTTCTACTTAGCAATGTGTCCTGATACGTTTCATATGAAATTATATAGCAGCCTCTCATTATTATTATTATTTTTTTTTTGAGACGGAGTTTCGCTCTTGTTACCCAGGCTGGAGTGCAATGGTGCGATCTCGGCTCACCGCAACCTCCGCCTCCTGGGTTCAGACAATTCTCCTGCCTCAGCCTCCTGAGTAGCTGGGATTACAGGCATGCACCACCAAGCCCAGCTGATTTTTTGTATTTTTAGTAGAGACGGGGTTTCACCGTGTTGACCAGGATGGTCTTGATCTCTTGACCTCGTGATCCACCCGCCTCGGCCTCCCAAAGTGCTGGGATTACAGACGTGAGCCACCGTGCCCGGCCGCCTCTCATTATTTTTAATGGTTGCACAGCGATCGATTTTATGAATGTATAGACACTAGATGCAAATGAATACATACCAGTAACTCCATCTGCATAAAGTTCAGAAATAGGCAATACTAATATGTTTTCAAAATCCAGGCTAGAGGTCACCCCTGAGGAGGAACAGGTCAGAGACCAAGGCGTAGGAGTTGCCAGGGGGCTGGTCATGCTGTTAGGGAAACAGGAGCCTAGGAGAGACAGGGTGACACTGTTTTAAAATCAACTCCATCTTTTTTTTTTTTTTTTTTTTTGAGATAGGGTCTGGCTCTGTCACCCAGGCAGGAGTGCAGTGGCGTGATCTGGACTCACTGCAACCTCCACCTCCCGGGCTCAAGCCAACCTCCCACCTCAGCCTCTCAAGTAGCCGGGACTACAGGCACACAACATCATGCCTGGCTAATTTTTGTTTTTTTTTTTTTATAGAGACATGGTTTTGCAATGTTGTCCAGGCTAGTGTCAAACTTCTGGGCTCAAGCAATCCATCCATTTCGGCCTCCACAAATGCAGGAATTACAGGCCTGAGCTACCATGCCTGTCCCAACTCCATCTTTTCCTTTCTTTTTTGTTTTTTTGAGACACAGTCTCGCTCTGTTGCCCAGTCTGGAGTGCAGTGGCACGATCTTGGCTCACTGCAACCTCTGCCTCCCGGGTTCAAGTGATTCTCCTGCCTCAGCCTCCTGAGTAGCCAGGATGACAGGCACATGCCACCATGCCTGGCTAATTTTTTGTATTTCTAGTAGAGATGGGGTTTCACTATGTTAGCCAGGATGGTCTTGATCTCCTGACCTCGTGAGCTACCTTCCTCAGCCTCCCAAAGTGCTAGGATTACAGGTGTGAGCCACCGCACCCGACCCCAACTCCATCTCAAAACTAGCAAGGCACACTCCTTGCCAGTCCTGACCCATGGTAGTAAGATGCTATGGCTAAAAGGGCAGTTTAGTAATGCCTGCAAGGACAAACTCCTATCACAACAAAATGTCTAAATGCTCCAATACTGCCGAAAAATATACGATTTAAGATAGTTATAGTCAGGCCAGGCGCAGTGGCTCATGCCTGTAATCCCAGCACTTTGGGAAGTCAAGGGTGGATCACCAGGTCAGAAGATCGAGACCATCCTGGCCGACATGGTGAAACCCCTATCTCTACTAAAAATACAAAAAAAGTTAGCTGGGTGTAGTGGCACACACCTGTGGTCCCAGCTACTCAGGAGGCTGAGGATAGCTTGAGCCTGGGAGGTGGAGGTTGCAGTGAGCCAAGATCGGGCAATTGCACTCCAGCTTGGGCAACAGGATGAGATCTTTTCTCAAAAAA